TCCTGCCCAGTCAGAATCCGCATACACATTCACATATATATATATATATATATGGCACAGTTTCCATCTGCACGCTGATGCGACGGACGTCTGAGCACATTTTCGCGTGCCAATTAAGTATCGCAGTAGGTGTTTGCGCTTTGTGAGACTCTGCATTGTCGGGGCAGTCACATCCCGACTCAGCTCCTTAGTGGCATATGCAATATCACCTCTCACCAGTGCAAGCCACAGCAGTTTACCAACTGCAGTCCGGGACATTGACTGCTCCTGAGAGCTCAGTGCCGTGTCCGGAACAGTCTTAACATTTGTGGCAGTGTCAGTGGTAGCCACAGACTTGGCATTCTTCATTCCATACAGCTCCAAAGTCGAGTCAACGTATGCTTGCGACACACGCGCATCAATCGAGTCGCCATTGTACGTCAGTCTCCTTCCGAGGAAGGTGTGCTCAGTCCCTGGCACTAGCTGGCCAGTCGCTTTGAGCAATACTTCTTCAGGAAGCTGAGACATGAACGATTTCCTGATTTCGTCAGTCCCCACGACCAACAAATCGTCCACATATGCAAGCACATACAGTTTGCCCGACTCATGGCAATACAGATTCGAGTCACTCTTCCATCATCCCAGTTTCGAGGTCCTAGCGATGACCATTGCCTGGACATTCCTGGCATAGACTGCCTTACCTAGGCTACATCTTCGTGGGCGTTCTTTCCGTTTGCAGCTGAGAGCCCGAGCAAAGCAACAGAGAGAGAGAGAGAGAGAGAGCGAAAGAGCATGGAAGAGAGACCCCTAAGCCATCCACTCATTAACACTATGGGTGGTCGGGCAGGCGGATGGCCTAAGGGTCGCTGGACGACCCGTGTGCCCGGCAGAGAGAAAGAGAGAGAGCTTGAGAGTGAGCGAGATTGAGAGAGTGACAGAGAGCGAGTTGGCTCGGAAAGCATGATGCGCCCTGCAGTATGGCCAGCGAGCTGTCCCCTTTGAGCCAGTTCATTCGGCCCGGACCTTACAAAACTTGTTGGTCACAGCCAGACTTCACACCCGGTGTAAGCCGAAGAAGCGGAGAGCCCATGGCAGATTTGAGCTGCCGCAGGCACGTGGCGCTGAACGGACTTTCGCGCAGAGGCAGCAAGGAGAGCCACTCGGCGTCGAAATCTTAAAGAGACTTATGAGTCGAATGTTCGACCGGTTCGACTCAAACAGAAGCCGAAATGTCATGCAGTTGTTAAGCGTGCCCCACGACGATTTTCCACCGTGCGGCAATTTGCCCACATATCTTTGCACCAGGCAGCAATGTTGCAGGGGTAGAACGAGGAGGAAGCCATAAAGCTCCCAAGTGCCGACGCGAGGCCCAGGATCCCAAGCCAGCTGACGCGGTTACGGCCTCGGGAGATTTCGAGTTGCCAGGGAAGCCGCCTCGCTGCTTGAATCCTCGACCGCTCAGGCCCGAGCAGGGCCACGTTGCAGGCGTGAGAGTCAAGCTAGTGGAACCCGTAGAAATCCGCACAAGGTCAGGGACATTCAGGAACGTCCTCGGCCGACGGGTGGGAGCGAATGTAGCTGGTATGGTTTGAACATGTTTGAACAGTTTGAATCCGCCAACATGCAGGGAATCTTACCGGTTGCATGGACTATAGCCGGACATGTCTTGGCCGTACTGCAAACTTTCGTACTGTGCGTCTGGATCCTGCCCCATGCGCGGTTGGAGCCTGTGCGGTACAGTGGAACGACCTCACGCCAGGCATTTTTTCACATGGGTCTCCTGATCTGCCGCCCAAGCCATTTGTGGAATGGTTCTGTTTTGATTTGCATACCCAGAGTCCGAGTTTCCTCCACCAGCCAGAAAGGATCGAGAATAATCGCAGCTTCTACGAGATGTCCCATTGACACATCGGCTTGCCGGCGTCATCGAATTTTTTGGATTTGTTTTTTTTTGCAAGGGCCTTCTGCAAAGCATGCTGACCCCCAACCTCCAAGAAATGTCGCTCGTCTTGGAAACTGGCATCGGCCAGTGCCGTAGTGCGTGCACGAGAATGTCTGCTCTTTAAGAGAGTTGAAGCACGACCAACTGCCGACGATAAGTCTCACGATTACGCCTGATACCGTTAGGTCGTCATTGGCCAATTCGTCGCCGCGACAAAAAGGACATGGATGTTCCTGTGCTTCTTGTCTTGGACCTTCGCTGCTGCCCTTTGGAACTTTGACTTTTTGGCAGCCCGGAGGTGTGAGGCCCGAACGGCCGACTCCGGAGAGCCACCCGAATCTTGGCGCAAGAGCGGGGCTTGTCTTGTCTTACTCGTGTTTTCCCCTCCCCCCCCCGGGCACATGCAAAGAGCTTTAAAAGAACTGTTGTCTGTGCTGCGGGCTGGCGAAAGCCAAGCTAGCAGTCTTAGGATGCTCCGATTTGATCCTTCGTCCACTGAGGAGCCTTTTCCGAGCGTTGGAGAAGGCCCTGGGTGGGACTGAGCCCGGAAGATAGGATGTTGCTGGAGGGTTTTCTCCAGAGTAATCGCGGATAGCCACAACACAAGAAAGAACCCGAGGGGCATCCAGAAATCACTAAATTGCAAGCCTATGAAGGCACTGCGACCCACTCATGTTCGCATTGTTTTCCTCCGGATTGAAGGCATCATGTGCTCAGGAGGCGAGGCTCGTGACATGACTGAAGATGAACCTGACTTGCAAGTGTTCACCGATCCCAAGGCCTCGGCATGATCGATAGTAGGATCACCTGATTACCTCAAATCTGAGTGCATTGACCTTTGTATGGATGCCATCTTTTTCACCGCTCTTTTTTTCCGGCTGCTTGGAGACAGGCTGAGCGGGTGGAAGGAGCCCTTCAGCGTGTCTCCCACTGCCCACTGCCGGCCGCCGGGGAACCCAACTGCCACCCAACGCGCTGCCATGGCCGGGCCACAGCGGCTCTAATGCTGCAACTTCCCTCTGCTCAAGGCAGCCAAGCTCCGCCGCCTGGGTGCCGCACCCGGTGAGCGTTCTCACTAATCGTACGGAAGCCGAGGGATCTCACCTGAGACCTCTGCCCCACCGCATCCCACCGCCATGCTCTCCCACTCAGCGCAGCTCACTGAGTCGCTGCCGCAGCTGGTCTCTTCGATTCGCTCGGCCTCGATGCTGGTGCTATCCCCTTGCCTTAGCGTCAGATCAAGGGGCAGGTTTCTGTGCGTCTTTCGGGCTTCTTCGGATTATTTGCGCGTGCAGTCTCCTAGATGGATGATGACAGGGACGGGAAAACTGCGGTGTCTTTGTGTCTGCCGCTCGGGCCGCGAAGCTCGTCACCCGGATCCACGAAGCAGGAAGATTGACAAGTGTAAGAAGATGAACTGCAGATCTTCGCTATCAGCATGTCGCGTAGTTCGTGTAGGTGCACTATTTTGCAGGACTGGTTCGGGCTCTCGGCTCTGGGCTCTGGACGAGCCTCGCCACACACACACACACAGACACTTTTTGCTTAAACCCTAAGCAGCTGGTTCGATCAACTCGTCGATGGATGCGGGCTATCTTCAAGCGAACCCATGGGTCCTCCAGGCCGGAGCTATGGGGCGCAGGGACAGTAGTCTGTGGTTGTGAATGTTTGGCACCAAGATCGAAGCATGCCAGTAGCGTCAGGCTTTCCGATGTGGTAGCAACATCTCAAAGGCGATGGTCCGCAAATGTCAGCTGCTTGGCCGAGCAAGCTGATGGGTAGCCCGCTACTGTGTGCTAACTGTGCGAGGGAGCCAAGTGAGGAGCATCGTTGCGCTTATCGCGGGTTCCGCACCTAGGACCTCCTAGTAGGGCATGCTGTAGGCTTGGTTTCCCCACATCTGGAGTCTGTGGCATCTTAAAAAGGCAGGTGCCGAACATTGACTGTCCAGTCCGCAGTCTTATGCAGAAACCTGTGCTGAAAGATTGTATGCTTGGGTATATCCAGTCGGCCGGCACAACTTATTTATAGCGACAGCTCCACGCAAGGTTTTGACTACCACCCCTCCCTAACCTAATGTACTTGGAGGGTTGTGTTACATCGATGTCTGGGGATTTGAAGTACATGTCCCCCTGCTCCGATTGGGTGTAGTAGGGATCCCAGTGCATTTGTTTTCCGTGGGACATGCAACTGAGATAATATACTCGGGGGTCTTTGGTCATGGACGCCCGGAGCAACAAACAGCAGCGAATAATGTACTTCAGGGCGTGGTGGGGGACTCCCCAGCTACATTAGTTGTTGGGGGGTGGTGCCTTAACTGCCTGTTTGAGCATATGGCTATGGTCCCGATAGCAAGCTGCAATGTCATCATGGATGCATTGCAGTGAAACTGAAATTGAGTCTGGCTAAGCGGCCTGCACGCAGAGTGCAGGCATCAGAACACACATCTGGTGCTGACTCAGGATTTGGAAGAGAGCCTGGCGTTGCCGTCCGCGTATCCAGTGTCTATCGGACCGTTGCAAGCCATCTGCAACCCTTCAATGACAGAGTGAACGGTTCCTCAGGCATTCTTAGTCACAAGTGCCCTCTAGAACGAAGGCCAAAGCAAGGTCAAGTCTCTGTCGTGGCAGGACACTCTCGTATCTGGATTCTCCAGGCCTTGCAGATTGCAATTGAGCGAGAGACGTGCTTGAAAGGAGATAGCTTCTGTAGTTTCAATCGCATACAGAGAGACAAATGGGTGTCGAAGTGTCAGGCGCAGGAAGCATATCCATGTTCTGATTGCCCGACTGAAGCTTCTGCTGGAACCTAAGCACCAGGTCGACAAGTTTGGCTGCTAGGCACGGCGCATCTTCTCGAAATTGGTTGGAGTTTGCCAGCTTCTGCAACGGGGTTCCAGACACCGCCCAGGCACGTGTCCAGAGTATCAGCGGCTGAAGTCAAGAAAGCAACAGTCTCAGTCTTCTCCCCTTCTGTGCAAAATCATTGATGCCCGCAGCCAGAACACTACTAGCTAAGATCGCCGACGAATCCAATCCCGACCTCATTTTTGCGCCTCTGCCTGTTTGACCGGAGAAATATGGACATTTCCATGCAGATTCCTCCAGCATTTTCGGCACAGCGGCAGGTCGAGCTCTGTGACGGACGCCTAAAGGAGCTGAAGGCGACCAGCCCGGGACTGCAGTCCGACAGTCAAACCCAACTCTCCCAGATAGGGAGGCAAGGGAGGTCTTCTGTGAATCCGCGACAGCAGACTTGCAGTGTACCTTACATGGGAGAGCGCTGGCCTGCTCATGCCTGTTCAGGCAAGAATGGGCAACACCGAAGTCCCAAGCCTCGCAGAAGCTCTCAGCTGGCGCCTTGTCATGTCGTCTCTCTCTCTCTCTCTCTCACTCGCTCGTTGACCGATGCTGAGGCAGTATCAAGACGGGCAGTGGGCCCTTGATGGACCGAAGTATTGTCAGCATGCAGCAACATGGAATGCCGGACTGTGCAATCTGGTGGGGCAGTTGCACACCATTGTGGCAGGACCGAATTTTTCGCACGCTGCTGAAAGCGCAGCAAGTGGTACTCTCAGAGCATGCAATTCTTCGCGAAATTGAGTTGCGTGCTTGTTGTCGCATCTGCGCTACATCGCTGCACGTGCCCAGGCGGCAATTGCCAAGATTTTCGATCTTCGGCCCGGAGCCGAATTTTTCGCTGCCATCGAGGCCGGATGGTGCCTGTGGCAGATTGTTGTTTAGCAGCGTTGGGTCTGTGATGAGCGCTGCAGAATCCGGCAGTGAAGGTCTGGAGCCTCAAACTTGGAGTGGAGAATCTGCGTGCTAGGATAGCTTGCTCGGCTTTCTGTCCACCCGACTGGGGAGGTGGCAGAGCAGAGGAATCTTCCATTGGTCTGTGGGGATCGCGACGTAGACGAGACGATGCAGGATCTGAAGGAGGCCTTTGAGTGCTGCTTCGAAGACTGGGCAACACGACACGAAAGCTGAAGACTTGTTGCTCAGAGACCCTTTCGTCAGGCATTTCTGAAAGACTGGTGGTCGCTCCTCACCTCCTCGTCCCAGGTGCCGGGCACCAAGGGCCGAGAGAGGAGAGAAAGAGATGAAAGAGCGTGGTTTGAGCCGAGGGTGACAGCTCTTCCAACTAGGGTGGGGTCTTTCTCACCACCTCACAGCCTGGCACGACACCCTGCGGGGGCTTGCACATCCGTGCCTGCCCTGAGTCTGCTGCAGAAGAAGAACCTAAGAAGAAGAGCTACAGCTAGGTTGCTACCGCAGCGAATGATCCAGGTGCTCCCGGAATCAGTAGTAGCAGGTATACTGCTTCTGGGTGTCATGTCCACACACCTGGGGGAACCGGAGTGTCCATAGCGAACTCCAACCTCGGGGGGCACTTGGACTTGTGCGAGCCATGGGGCAGCAGCAGCAGAGGGTTTTGCCCTCGTGCTCCAAGCAAGCAAGCAGGAGAGCCTAGGTCCATCGAATCATTGCCGAAGACGGGAGGAGAGTGAAGCAAAGATGCAGGGGTTCAAGTCTTCAAGGTTGACTGTAGCAGCATCGCTCGTGGCAGCGAGGTCAATACCCCAGATCATGCATGCAGATGGCATCGAGCAGCCCAGCACCGAGTGTGACAGCAGACGGGACGGTACGGTCCAGATCTCACGGCACGGCTTGACTATTCAGTTCTTGCAACATCGGGAAGTTCCAGCAGATGAGGAATATTTACCCATTGGAACTTTGAATTCTCTCTCGATTACAGCTCTTCATAAACCGGATTCCAGGTCATGCGGGCTTCAGGCTGTAGGGTGCTTGAGCCTTTGCAGTTCTCGGTCCGTGCTCGAACTCTTGAGGCTTCGTGATCGTGAGATGATAGCTCGCCTTCGCGAAGAGCTGAAGCTCAGCATGCAAAGATATGCAGAGTCTTCGAAGAGCGGTGTCGCCCAGGGCAGCGCTCTGCAGCGCTGCACGTCGCTTTAAGCGAGATGTGACTGAAGGTTTGAATCTCGAGAGCCGTCCCCTCGCGAATGTTGTAGTAATTGTAAAAACGTGCTCCTTTTTTCTAAGGAAAGATCGCGGTGGACTCCTCAGAGCTGCTTCTACGGCTGCTACCAGAGGACTACGGCTCTTGCATGCATGAGCTCTCGGCAGCCGTTCTCTCATCCAAGGTCCCAACGTTCTCAAAGTCATGCTGCACGAGCGTGATGCCCGGCTCTCATTCGCAGCCCTCCATTTATTTTTTTATGGCTTGTCAGCAAGGATGCCTCGGGCTGTAGAATGCTTAAGGCTTGATTAAATGCCATCGTTCCTGACTTGACGAACTTACGGGAGTGTGTACAAATGGAGTTTGTCAAATCCGGCGTGCCTGATCCTAGGATGCTACTTGTGGGAAGCATGTCAACACGTCAAGGCATCCAAGACATATTTGTTGATTCTGATTGTTCCATTTGGAAGTCGTCTTTAGCATCCTAGCCCAGTGCAGTAGAGATGCTGGATTGAAAAGTGAGAGTAGATACGGGCAAGAGCGAGGTGGCAACTGCAACAAACTAGGATTCTCGAAACAAAGCTTGAGTTGGTGGTAGGGAAGCGGCGTCAGGATGAGGATGGGACGACTCTGAACAACCTCGTCAGTCACGACTCACATGTTGTTCCGCTAGGCGCAAACAAGAGGCCAGCTCAGGAGTTGAACATCTCGTGGGAAGGCTTTACAGATGATTCACGTGTCATTCATTAAGTCTACCAAAGCCTGACTACTAATTACTAATTGCATTGAAGCAGAGTGTACGGCTTCATTCCCAAAGCCTGTAGAAAACTCGATTAAGGAGAGTTTTCTGGCCCCCATGTCGCAATGACAGCAACTAGCTGTACCATTACGCCAGGAGCTTATGGCCAAGCATCTGCTTACTTGCGGAGGAAAGCGGGTTCTCGCTGTTGCCAGGGGCCCAGCTGCGATTGGATTTTCCCTGAAACGGCTCACAAGGCTGTCGCTGTCATGAACTTTGAACGGCAGGGAAAGCCAAGGTGGGTGCAGCTCACCTCGATGGCTTGGAGACACACTGGCTCGAGCAGGAAAACGCAGAGAGTGCACCGGAGAGTAGATGGTGACATGATGCGATTCCATGAAGTGTGCATCCGAATGCAAGCTAGCCGTTTCGTGCCCTGAACAAAGGGCATTGTGCTTTGACACCACAGAGCAGCGCGACCAGCACCATTCATTTGATATTTTGGTGTGTGTGTGTGTGTGTGCAGAATTGGCATGAGTGTCTCTGCAGGGACCATACCCTCAGGTCCTCATGTTGCATTGATCAATCCTCACATGCGTGCCGTGCAGCGCTGCACAAACAGCATGTTGTAGTCAGCTGGGCTGCGCCAGTCCTGCCACATGAGCGGCGGCGCACATTGGGCTGACCCTTGGATGCCTAACAAGACTACAAAACATCTCTCAAGAAAAGGTTGAACTATGCAGCCTAGCTAGATCCAAATCGCAGGCGATTCAGCAGGAGCCCGAACAGCAGGAAGTCCGGCGTCCCTAAACCGGAACCCGGAACCCAAGGCACAGAACCGCGACTCCGATCTCCGACAGCTGGCAAGCTTAAGCCTGCTCCTGAGCCTTGTTACAAATCGCAGAAAGCAAAAGGGGCCTAGCGACATTTCGTCTCGCACTACTGAGACAAGTTGTTGTGTCAAGAAGGCCGGGCCGATAATCAGTACTTTGCAAAAAGCTGTAGCGAAGTCAACAGCAACAGTGCTGATACTAGTTGTTAGATTCAGAAATTAAGCATCGTACTCCAACACATCTGATGAGTGCGGCATAAATATGCATAAACGGCGCAGTCATTGAGGGTTTGGGCTTCGGGACTGGAGTCCTGACCCGGCTCACCGGCTCTTTGCTGTGGCGGCAAATTGCGGGTCGAGCTTTCACGGCGGTTGCCCTTCGTTGCAGAAACCATGTTCTTGATGCTTATCACGGGCTATGCTTTGCACCGCTCTTAGGGGACCTGGCCGTTCATGAAGAGTGGTGGCTTTCCTTTACGGGGGCTGCTTGCTGGTCGTTGAAATTGGAAGTTCTTTTTTTTTGAGCACGTCCGGAGCTTTGTAATCCCGTGCCGAGGGTCAGGGCCGTTAGGGCAGGGAAGCGGGATGACGCAATACACAGAAATCGTGGCTTGGGGAGGGCTGTGGTGCGCGCGCGTTTGGTGACTCTTGTCCGTGGCCCCCCATGGTGTTGTGCTGAAGATGATCCTTATTGCAGGTACTACGTATCGCGATCGTGCTGAGCGATTATCATGTTGCTATGGCAATATGTGTATACCAGTATGCTGTCTGATGGCTTGTGCAGGTATGAAGAGTCTGCCAGCCCAGCCCATGACTAGCCGTAGTCGTCTTCGTCGTCGTCATCATCGTCCGTCATGGTGACAGTATTTGTGCGGAGGTGTAGGTGCAGCAACAGTAACTGTATCGGCGGTATCATTCCTGCGGGCTGTCCTTTTGGAATCCTGTTGCTCCAAGGTGCGACCGCTTTCTGCCAACTCCAGGTGCTTCATGCACCAGATCATCAGTTCTCGTCATTGTCGGGTGTGCGGTACGGAAAATAGGCTCTTGCAAGCATCTGCTCCAGAGACACATCTGGAGCTCCATGCCAGGGGTTGTTCTGTTCCTACCCCGCGATACACTGCGGTCTGCCAGCTGCTGAAGCTCAAACTAGTAACTAGAGTTTTGCATAGGTTCTGACCCGTCCCCACAAACAGACAACAGCACACTTTTGACTCCGACCCCGTCGCTTGAAGTTGGGGTCGCATTGCTCAAGCCGTAGAGGGAAACTCGGTGAGTTTCCGCAGACTGCTGCCTGCAGAACCAATTATATTAATCCAACATGAGGAGCCCCAGTTCCTCGAAGAGCTGGGCTTCCGCAATGCCAGCAGGAGGCCGACTTGAGGGATGTTTTCGCTGCCATAGGAAGCTATGACAATATAGTTCAATAATATAGTTCTATTTTTCATCGGGTTTGACCATCCCTTGAAGTCGATGCTGTTTGTCTGCTGGCCAGTGCCAGAGATGAGAGGTATGTCCTCTCTAAGTTTTGCCTGCAGCTTGAAGTAGATGCAGCACAGCTGCTGGCCTTCCAAGGACACCTCCAAGGTGCAGGCTTCAATCCTCCCAAAACCAGCAACGACCGAGCATTCCGGCAGTATGCTGCACCACCTCGAAGTGGCCGGTCTGCCCATGGAGCATGCCAAAGAAGCGTTCCACACAGCTGACGTCTACACAGGCCTCTTGCCATGTCGACAACCTGGGCTTCACAGGATTGAGTTTGGTTGGCCAATTATTCGTAACTCATCGCATGGGTCGTCGCCTTGATTGTTGTTGACCCCCTGACTCCATGGTCTGCAGAAGCCCTCAAGGTACAAACATGATGGTGATGCTGCTTGCCGACAGTCTGGGGGATCTGTGCACCCAAGGGATGACCCACTGGGAAGCTTGACTAGCTGGTGTACAGCTTTGTGAACTTCAAGATTTCGCAAGTTGAGCATTCAGTACATATCGCACTGCGTTCGCTGCGAATCATAAATGCTGAGGACAGCTTTTACTATGTCTGCCTGCAGGTTCGCTCATCTATCCGCCTTTGGGCTGATGAAAAGGAGGGGGGGGAGGTTGACTCATGTGCTTTTGTCATGCTCCACTGAAGTGTATATGGCTGAGGGTCGGCCCTTGGTTACATCCGAGGTGAGCTCATGCTGAAGATGCCAGAGCGCCTCAGGGTCCGAAGCCGAAGTCGCCGCTTGCAAGAGGCCATTGAGAGCCTTGGATTGTTGCAAGCACTGGTGCAAGCACTGGGGAAAACCCGTATAAACTGGTTTCACCTAGACACGGATTTCGCTGCTGCCCCGGCTTTCAGGACCTGTCGTTTCGGAGTGTCTGATCTGCGGAGTACAGCCCAAGTGAATTCCGCAGAAGATGTCCTCTTGGAAGAGCTCAGGAATGTTGCGCAGATGACGACGCAGCTGCTGTCAAACTTGGCTTCAGCGGCGTGCATGCAGCTGCTCCTTGTCGGCCAGCGCAGCCTCCTGCAAAAGTACGCAATTGCTCCCAGCAGTCTGGCCGTTCCGTTGGGTCTGCTGCAGGCTGTAGTGCTATCAGATCAAAATTTGCAGGAATGCACGTGTGGTTCGCTCAAACTCGCCTGCTCGAGAGCTATGGGCTTTCTGTAAGCACCAAAGCTGTGCCTGGATCAAGGCCGCCGACTTCGGAGGCGGATCCGAATTGCCGAGGCCGGGTGGACTTGCAGGGCTTGCTCGCTGCCTAGTTCGGACACCCAATGCCATGCAGAAGCGCTCAGACTGGCGTTCGTCGCCTTACGAGGAACTGTGACGGTGAAAGGGAGCCCTGTATTTAGCACAGCCCATGCATCGCTCTGGCAGGTTTCTTGGGGTGTCATGCATGGCATCGCAGGCTCGCGCAAGGCACACATGCCGGGCTCTCGGACAAGGCAGACAGCTTGGGGCAGAGTACCAGACCGTCATCATGACTTATCAGTTATCGGTTGAGCCTTCCGGCCTTTAAGCTCTAAGCTCTAAACGCTTTGGCCAGCCACGTTTGTAGCAATGTGGTTCTTTGCCGCATTGTCTTTGAGGACCTGGCTGTGCTCTCCCATGTGGTGTCGGGCTCGGAGCAGGGTTTGTGTCGCTTTTTGCGAGGTCCGTCTGTTCGGGGCTGTTTGGGATCCTTGGCCAGCCATGTACATGTGCATGCAGGTATTTATGTGTGCATGTAATACACAGGCGTACTGTCATACCCTGCTTAGTCTTTATGCATGTCTCTGTGTGTATGTATGTGAGTGTATGAAAATGTAGAAAGGGGCATCACAAGCAAAAGAACGACGGACGCCAACGATTTGTGGCTTCCCGACCTGTCGTCCTCTTCGGAAGAAGCAAAGCAGCTTCGGGGCTCGAGTTCAGATCTACGGCACTAAGATTGGAGGAGTTTGGGGTGGATCTTTGCTTCCTTGATGGGCGAAGGCCAGGAACTAAGAACCAAGCTTGTCCGAACAGTTCTGGTGCGAATCTTGGCTCCTGAGGTTTGGCCCCAGTGTGTTCATGAGCGACCATGTTAGTTTGTTGCATGGTCACGCCTGGGAGCCAAGAACCAGCTACCCAGACAAGATTGGGGGGGGGGGGGGGGGGGNNGGGGGGGGGGTGGATCTTGGTTCTTACAAAAAATACCATTTCGATGAAGCACCCTCAGAGCCTGGCCAGTCCGCTGGAGCTGAGATGCAGACCCAGCTGGAGACAGCACTCCTCTGGGACTCGATCATGTTCCGGGTTGACACAGGAGATGTCGTAGAAGACCGCAAAGGGGGCTGTCTGCAGTCACGACCCTGCAATCTGCAAACTGTTGGCTCTGCTTGGATCGCAGGATATCTGCAACTCCCGGAGCTGCCAGCTGAAGTCTCGCTAGGCTGGCACTTTGCCTGGGTTACGATGCTTGCTTTCTGGCTTGCTGCTGTGATCAATGGGCTACTCATTGCCAGGGTCAGGCTCGAAGACGTTTCGGAGTACCCAGCCCCAGAAGCCGCCATAAAGTGCAAGGTGATGTTAGAAGCCAAGACGACTTGCGCGTCAACACCCTGAGCAGCATCCTGAGCAATTTGACAGTTTGTGTCCGGTGTAGGGCTTCAGCATTTGGGCTGAATAGCTGCATCCGCACCAGTGCTGAGATCATCCACTACATCTCACAACCCTCGATCTTTACGTGGTTGGGTTCTCTTCCTCAATCAATCCATCTAGAGGGCCGATCACTAGAAACTTGCACAGGCGAGGTGCGTTCCCATCACGTCTAGTTGTACTCTCATGTCTGCGGAGTCGAACAGGAAAGGGCTAACGAAACTGACTGATTGCGTTTGGAGGGTAGGCCTCGGGTTGATGAAGCCAACCTGGCTGCATTTCTGTACCTTTGTTTTGCCCTACAGCCGGCTCTGGCCGGAAGGCAAACCCATCTGGTTTATGTTTCGAGTTCATGGACCAGAGGCATTTCTGTGTGGGTTGGTCGCACCCAGCAAGACACGAACTGTTTGCCGCTAAGGTACCTTGATCGCTCGACTGAAGGCTTCGAGCCCTCGGAGCCTGCGAATGGTGGCTAACTTATCGGAGCATGTCGTCTCAGAGTGTCGCTTTTTCAGACCTGAGTTGCGTACACGCTGACATCGAGCTAGTGCTGAGAGGTGGAGATTGGCGTCCACCATGGCGAAGTGGCCGTGGGACTGTTGCAGAGACACCCCTCTCTACAGTACCTTGGACTCTCGGCGCATGACGGGCACGATCGCAGCTTTCTTTGGGATCCCAGCTGGCTTTCACTTCGGATGGAGATGTCAGCCTCTGTTCCCAGAAGCTCTTTGCAACGCATTTCTGCAGAGCTGTGAGATGTCCCAAGGAATAGACCCTTATCCAGGGGAATATGGCAACATGCGACCCAGCTGAAGCTACACAGGCCTCCCTTGGCTCTGAAGTCTGCGTAGTCCTTAAGCACCTGTGATGGGTCGCCGCCGTCGGAATGCATCTGCACTGCCCGACGGCAAGTTCAGATGTCGGGCTCGGTCTCACATCGCTTTTCCAGACAAGCAAGTACAGCGACAGCGCCGGTTAAGAAACAGATAATTTTTCGTAAGGGGGGGCTCGATTTCTTATTTTTGAAGCG